GCTATGCTACCTTAATCCAGGGATAAACTAAACCCTGCCTCCCTAGGGAAATAATAGCAAACCCTTCAGAGTGGCTTCCGTAATATTTTTTGCTCAATTGAGCTTTTGATAGCAAGTAAGTTGGATATCCTCTGTCAGGTATCTAGAATGCAAATATTTCAAGTTTCCAGTTATTTGGAGAGACACATGCTTTAAAAGGCAGCTGAGCCTGGGGTGAGATTGTCATCCCAAGAGACATTACAAAAAAAAAAGAAAATGCATGCTCCACAGAAGACATCTCATGTCCACCCAGAGGTGGACAGACATAGATTCTTTTCAAAGAGCTTTGATCTAGCAAAACAGACCCAACAAAAAGTGCTTTCAGCCCATTATAAGCAACCCAAAATATATCACAGTGTGAAAAAAAATAACTAAATAACGTGTATTTGAAATCTAGCTGTGCTGGTAACTTAGCCCTGCATCTTTAGGCAAGAGTGTTAAGGTCTCTGGATTTCAGGTTGCTTTTTGGGAAAGGAGGAAGTATAAATTACCTTACATGAGCAACAAGTGCTACTGCTTATAGAAAAGTTTAATAAGTTGTACGCTTTTATGTAGTTCTCCCTACTGATCACAACAGCAAAGAAGGAGAGGGAAAAAAATGCCTTTCAGGAAACCAACTTTGTCTTGTGATCTTTGTCCTCAGAACGCATCCAGTATTTACCTCAATGTAATACTGATTGGACCTTCAAGAGGCTTTATAATTTCATTCATTGACCATTGCTGAGTTTCTAGTACTTAATTACTGCTTCTGCTACTGTTTTGTTGTTTTTAGTTTGTTGTTTGTTTGTTTATGGTTGGTCCTGGGGCTTGAACTCTGGGCCTGGGTGTTGTCCCTCAGCTCTTCAGCTCAAGGCTAGTACTCTACCACTTGAACCACAACACCACTTCTAGACCACGATCCTCAGATCTCAGCCTCCTGAGTAGCTAGTATTACAGGTTTGAGCTACCGGCATCCGGCTGGCTGCTAAGTTTTGATCTGTTTTATTTCCATATCATGGACAATTCACAGGGAGAACACTGTTTCCTTGAACAGCGTCAATGGCACATGACACAGGAAGGAGTGCTATCCTTCGCTGCAAAATCTTGAATGAGATCCCTATTTTGTTTTATGTATTTTTATCCTCACTTTCTAAACACGAAAGAAATATGAATTTCCACATGCTGACCTTTGGCTCTGCACAGTTAAATCTTACCTCAGTCTTTCCTGGCCTGTATTTTTGCTCTGCAGTGTTTCCAGTTTCAATCCCACAATCCTTTTTATATGTGAAAGCATATAAGAAGTTTTCATGATTATTTCTTCTTTGTGTTTCATGCCCTGTTATCAATTCCACTTCATTACTTTCCTATTCATTACATGCTTGCACCTCGCTGGGTTAATAAATTCTTTTGACACCTATTACTCCTCCTTCTCCCCCCCCCCACCTTTCATTGCTGTCCCTCTTCCAAGAACTGTGCCCATCAATATTGCATGCCAGGGGTGTGTTAGAGAGTACCCAGCTGACAGCTCACTGTCCCAGCAGGGAGTGCCCTTCTCCCTTCTGTTCCAACTCAATGATGAGAGGACCCTCCCTCTTCCTGTCTTCAGGCACCGGCTGCTAACACCATACTGAGAGACAGATGTTTCCCATCCCCAACTATCTTGTAAGGGCCACTTGAAGTAGATTCCACTTTAGTCTCCTGCCATAAAAGTTTCGTGCCTACTTCTTAAGGTACACTTGTCACTGAAAGGTAAGAGTAGTGCTCAGGAAATTCAATCATTGTACTTTTCCTCTCCTGGTAGGAAAAGTAGAATTAAGCAATAAGAATGTCACTGCCAAAGGCAGATAGTGTACTTCTATCTATAACACATGGAAAGTACAACTTCAGCAGTGTTATCAGAGAGAGAGTTTTAGACTGGAAAGAAGAAAGACATGCTGGGTCAAGAGAAAATGGAAGGCAAAGTGGCATAGAGAGAAGTAATGAGGTCTCAAGCTTCTGCCACTAACTTGATGATTTCAAATCAAGTATATTGCCAAGCTCCTAGAAAACACTAGATTTAATAAAGACAACTCGTTATTCAAAGTAGAAGTGATGCTGAAAGACCAAAAGTAGGTACAGCTTGTTGTCAGTTTCTCAATATAAGAAAAGCAAAGACATAGGCTGATAAGTAAAACCAATGATAGTCAAGGCTTACTAAGGGTAATAATTACCAATCTTAATTGATTCTTACAGGTGATAATAGTCCTCAGCTGTTAAACCTGTAAAAATTGGCCCTGCTTATGAGCTATCAGGTTGGCTACCACAGTATTTTGGGAGCTGATAAAAGACATGAGACTCGGGTCAGAGACACAGCCAGTTTATTAGTCACAGCAATGATAGTATCAAGGAAGTATCATTTTTATCAGGTTTCCTGAGTTGAGATTCCCAAAGGATGATGCAAAGGTCAGATGACATCTAGAAACTTAACAGCTACACTCTCTGAGCTTAGAAAACCTTAGTCTTTTACAATTAGAAGTAGCCATGACTGCCATTTGTTCCAGAAGCAGGCACTATCTGTATCTCCTAAAGTGACTACCCAGAAGCTTTGAAAATAGTCAAGAACATACAGTAACATGAGAAATCCATGGGGAAATGACTCCCAACAATGCTAAGGAAAATAATAGCTAATATCCTGCATTGAGTGTTAAATGTTGGTAAGCTATAGATACAAACTGACTTCTTCAGATATAATAAATAATATATAAACTATACAGACTGGAGAAAAATCCATTTCAAGTAGCCGTTGTAATTATAAAGGAACTTAATACGACCCTTTTAATATCTATGTGAACAAAATGCAAGGATATCGACTGGACAATGTATATTTTAATGGGTTTGTATTTTGATGCCAGTGCATAACTGAGAAATATTGATGTTAGAAGGGAGAGAGGTATTAACTGTTGTCCTTGAGAAGGTCACTGGCTTATTCTGTGTCACAGCATTATCAGTGGTTGTAATGAGGACATAGGGTATATATGAAGGATAAAAGACTAGGAGAGAGAACCTATATTTAGAGAAAAGACAGCGTTAGAAATTTACTCTGACTGACATGTTCTACAGTAATGCCTCAGTACAACTATGTAAAAGTAGTAAAAATATAGTTTTAGAAAAATCACTGAATCTTTTAAGGTAAAATTTGAAAGGCAAATACAAAAGTTTGTAACTGGGTTCAAAACTCATTACTATAAACAGAACTACATGGACTTAACCTATGAGCCTCTTGTTAGGAATGGAAAGGTTTAAGCTAAAAAATTACTTTTCTGAGGACCTTCTTCACCTTCTTTAACAATCCTCTCTCCATCATGCCTCTAACTAGAGCCTGATAAGTAGTATTTATAAGGACTTTCTTGGTTAAGAATACACTAAGGCAATAAACTACCATGGGATGAATATATCTATTCTAATCAAAGAAAATGGTAGTCTCCCCTGACCGGGCTTATACAATCTAGTTGAATATTAGATTCATTTTGAGATATCTAGGTTAATGGGAACACTGAAATGTTGACAATCTGCATATGAAAACGTTGGAGCAAATACAAGAAAAGTTCTGGACACCATGTTTTTCCAGTTGGCACTGCGTAAAAATAAAGAGATGCGTTCTGTAAGAGAGAAGATTTTGGAGAGATCATGACAGTTTTCAAATGCATGAAATAAAATGAGCGAAATGCGGGTCACAGAGCTATGGAGAAGATCTGAGCAAGGCAGATTGTACTCATTCTACTAGGGATATTTTTGGTCATTTGAGTTGAGCGAGTAACATTTTGATAGCAGTAGATCGTAATTGGAGATGTGTTTAAAGCACTAATTATATGTTTTCCCAAGGCTCTTTCTGTATGTGAAGCAGCATTCAATGGTCCCTTAGGATTTGTCTAAAATTCTCTAAAGTTCATGACTTCCACATCTATGCCATGCTGATAGGCAGCTAGAGGTTTTTTGTTTTTGTTTTTTGTTTTTCCCAGTCCTGGGGCTTGAACGCAGGGCCTATACTCTGTCTCTGAGCGTCTTTGCTTAAGGCTAGCACTCTACCACTAGAGCCACAGCGCCACTTCCAGCTTTTTCTATGTATGTGGTACTGAGGAATTGAACCTAGGGCTTCGTGCATGCAAGGCAAGCACTCTACCACTGAGCCACCTTCCCAACCGCAGGTTGAGTTTTTTAAGTGCAATCTGCTCTATACGTTTGGGATAATGTCTTCATACATCATTTGATAAATGTGATTAAATAAGCCATTTATTTGTTGCTTCTTAGTGAAAAAACAATACTGAAGAAGTATTGAAAAAATAAGAAATAAATAATGTAGATTTTAAGGTTCTTTCTCTCCCAAGTCTCTTAGTAAGACATGTATGAGTAAAGAGATCTGATTTTAATGTGTTATTGAAGTGCAGTTATATATCCTCTCTGGTCATACTTAAAGGAAGCAATCTGCTATACTAGCCTGAATTATTCCTGAAAAGTCATTCGGACTAAGTTTAGCTCTTGGGTGTCCTCATTCTGAAGTGAAGTTTTTGAAGTATTTTTCAAGTTAGGCTCTGGAAACACTAAAGTGTTTAAAACCCTGTGAGGCCAAGGGTAAGTATCAGAAAAGCTCGTTATGTAACTTCATAAAGATTCTATTCGTTCCTGTTCCATCTTGAAAGTATTGGTACGTGAGTTCAGAGGAAACTACCAGGGACAGACCTGCATCTGGGGTAGGAGATCAAAGGCATGCTGGCAATTTCACTGTTATCATAAAGACCTTCAGTCTTACAAGATCAAAATCTTAGCATAAAAAGCTTGGCTTCGATTTTTTTTTCCCCTACCTCAACTCCCTCTCCAAACAAAGCTCTAAGAGAAGAAAAATGCCTTGAACTATCTGTACAGCTATAGCTCTCAGATCCCGATGAGTCCATCCTACATAAAAATTATGGAAATGTCACTGATGTAGCCCTCGGCTTTCCCACCAGGCCGCCCATGGAAGACTCTCAGACACTCTTGACCCCGGTGGTGAGCTGTGGGCCTCCCGGAGCCCTGCTGACGCGACCTGTGGTCCTCACTCTCCACCACTGTGCAGATCCCAACACCGAGGACTGGAAGATCGAGCTCAAGAACCAGACAGCACAGGGACAGTGGGAGGTGAGGGGCTTCTGTGGCGATGGAGATGGAATCTGTACAGATAACCAGAGCAACTATGGGAAGCCTGCACTGCAGAAACCATCTGTGGGGAGAAAGTTAGGTCCCACTAGTGTCTCTGGGCAACGGAATAGTTTCTAGGGTTTTTTTAAAATCTATTCTAACATATTGTCTATTCTAATGCATAGGCACCATTTCAAGGATGGTCAAGTATTAGCCAATTCATAGGGAAAGTCTTATATGAGTACCTTTTGCACTGTAGAGACTGTATTGGGAAAACATACATACATACATACACACACACACACACACACACACACACACATAGAGAGAGAGAGTGTGTGTGTATACCAAATACATATGCTATATAATGTATCTATGCTTTCTTTTTCAATTGCACCCAAGTCAGAAATGTTAGACACTTATAGACATGTACTTAGGCTATAGTTCTTGTGAAGTCAACCTGAGAAAACAGAAATGATGCATCTCCGGAGGTCCACTAGAATGAGCATATGGCATCTTATCTTCCTGGGTACAATGTCATCATTAGTTTTTAAGGACAATGCCTGTCCTTTACATCCCAAACCTTCATTTAGCATCTGTGTCACGGGAGCTTGCCTAGCAAGCTGAAATATATATTTATACTTATGTAAGATTTTATACAAATATAAGGCATTTGTATAAAAATGTATATAACTATAGACCATATTTATAGCCAATTGTATATAAATATAAAACATTTGATGTAACTATAAAACATGCAAAATTTTACACAGGCAAAATAACTTAGTTTTTAGATTACGTAAGAAATTTTAAAGAGTAAATGTCCAAATTCCCTGAAACTTATTTTAATAAGCTCAAGTTTAACTGTTATGGAAAGGGTTATTGAAAGATGGATTTGGTATTTTCATAGACATTCCAGTAATGTAGATACTCAGACCAAACCAAGTAAAGGATATCTACACAAAGAACATTATCAGGATGTGGGGGATGGTACTGGGAATGGAAATTGAACCCGAGAAAGGAATCAGAGGAGGAGAGAGAATTACCAGACAGAGAAAGAAATCCCACTCTCTCCACTACTAGCCCGTGGCCCCTTCCCCTTTGTGTCCTAGGATGTGGTGGCGGTTGGAGAGGAAAACTTTACTACCCCCTGCTACATTCAACTGGACGCAGAGGCCTGTCACATCCTCACAGAGAACCTCAGCACCTACGCGCTTGTTGGGCATTCTGTCACCAAAGCGGCTGCCAAGCGCCTGAAGCTAGCCATCTTTGGACCCCTCTGCTGCTCCTCCCTGGAGTACAGCATCCGAGTGTACTGTCTGGATGACACACAGGATGCCCTAAAGGTAAGTGGGTTCTACCTGCCCTGCCTCTTCTTCATGTCCACCTGGAAACCAAGGTTTGCTGCAACTGTGTACACCGGCCATGGGTCTGTGCCTGTGAACCCAAGTGCATGAACATGTGCGTTCATTCTTTAAGGATGCAGGTATAAAAATAGACATAGCTCCGAGGCCAGGCTGATCAACAAGCTATTTCTTTCATGCGAATTCTTCCCAAGAGGTACTTTCTGTTTATCTTCCTTGATTTCTTTTAATGAAAAATGTAGGAGAATTTGGCAACGAGACCCGTGGATGGTAAATAATCTGCTTCCATGTTTATCTCAGCTGTGTTCTTCCTATAAAAGAAATTGGCATAATTGCTCACGCTATATGTTCCTCTTGTGTGCCACTTCATTTATATGCTTTCCCATTCTCTTTACGAGGGCTGTGAGGGAGAGGGTGAGCGTTTGACAACAGGCTGCTGCTTGGAAGAATAAATGAGCTTAATTCCTAGCGTGATTATTGCCATTCATTTTATCCCATTTGAAGCTTTAAGGGATCTAGTAAGTGCCTTTGAAGAAGTTATGGTCTAGACGGAGGAATAAAAGAAGTAAGCTAAAGATGAGGAGATAAGTCAGTGGATGATAAATGCCACGGCTGAGATGCTAAGTTCTACAGAAGTTCAGCAGAGCAGGCAGCATGCTATTTTGAGGAAATGTGAGCAGGAGCTCATAGTTGAGACTGGCCTCATTGGAAGGTAAGAGTTTGACCAGCAATAATAAGGGAAACAGGAGGATTTCTAGGTAGAAGAAAGAGTGTGAAAACCTCCAAGGGTGAACAGTAAATAATCCTGCTAGGCAGGAACATTATTTCAGGAAGCTGAGTTTCCTTTGATTGGAATAGACCTTCATGATCAGAGAGAGGAGTTCAAATTCCATCTGTTGACTTAACTTAGATGAAAGAGATTCGAACAGAAGACACGATTAGAAACATACATTAGTCTGATCAGTGTAAAAAGCATGGTGCCAATAAGAAGAGCGTCATGGAGCTGGGTTCTAGGTAGAAGATCAAATAGGTACAAAAGTGGTCTTTGCTGCTCCTGGTCATTAAATTCAATGGGAGGGGCAGAAAATCAAATTTGTGTCTCTGACCAACAGAACAATCTCAGGAGGAAAGTGGCTTGGGAGTATCTCTCTTAAACTAGGTCAGGTTCCTATAGACTAGATGGTTTAAACAGAGGCTGATTCTTCATCATAGTCCGAGGGGTTGGGAGTCGACCTCAGGGTGCTAGCATCCTGCCAGTTTCTCACTCGTTGCTATGTTGCATGGTGGGGAGATGGCAGAGAGCTCTTGGGATACTTATGTGACACTCAGTCCAAGTCCCACTTTCACATTCCAATCTCCTCACAAAGACCCCAGCTCTTGACATCATTGCACTGAGGTTTTGGATGAATTTGAAGGACACAACACTTAGCAGTGCCTTTTTTGAATACTGAATTAGAGGTATATGACATCCAAACATACACAAGGAACTATTAGAAAAATGGCTGGGAACAGTCAAGTGTTCCATGGCTCACACCTGGTTATTTGGTTACTTGGGAGGCTGAGAAGGGAGGATGGCAGTTCAAGGCCAATATGACCTTGAAAAGCTTGTGGCTAGAAAAGTTTGCGAGACCCTCTTCTCAGCCAATAGCAGAACACATGTGATGTACAGCTATGTGGAAGGTTGAGACTGTTTGCCCTGATGTCCTGTGCCTGTCATTCCAGCTACTACAGGAAAGGATAGGTAATATTGGCAGATCATGACACAGGCATGCAAGATCCTACCTCAAAAATAACCAGCACACCAGGGGCTAGAGGCATGTCTCAACAGTACAGCATTTGCCTTTCAAGTACAAGGCTCTGAGTTCAACCCTAGCACTGCTCCTCCCCCCAAAAAAATATATTAAAAAATGAATGTGTGAGAGTAGCTTTGTCCCTGCTGACCAGTCGCACTCCCCTCCCTACTACCCCCTTTCTTGCTTCTGATAACAATTCTTCTATTCTTGTCTCCTGTGAGAGCAACTTCTTCCAGTTGTACATATGATTGATCAAACTGTGTTTGTATTTCTGCACCTGACATCAAATTTGATACTAACTGAATCATCACCCTGTGAGATAGCATTAGCCCCAGTTGAGTGAAGTACAAGCTGAAGGGCAGACATTTAAGTAAGTTGTTCCACATCACACAGCTATGAATTGGAGAGAGCAAAATTGTGCTCTAGCAGTCTGCCACAGTTGAGCCATCAAATTGAGACAGTCAAAGAGCCAGATCTTCAATGACAGAGACCACGTAGAATCCGCCATCACAGAGAAGAGGAGGAGCAGCCAGTATAGGAGCTAATGGAAGTTCTAAACACAAGTTGGAGAAAAGAAAAAGAGTCAAGGAGGCTGAGAGGAATTTTTTTCTATCAGAATATTTCCTTCTTAGGCTTCCATCCAGAGTATTTCTATGTCATATTGAAAGCTGGAACCCCTGAGGAGCTGACCCAAGATTTTTAAGGGGCATGAATGTTAACAGTAAGACAAGTAAGGAGCCAGTGACATCATCCACTCTTTATGGTGGGTGTGGACTCAGGTGAGACCTCCTTGGTCACTGAACATATTCTGATGATCAAGTCTGTAGGGTGTTCTGATGTAGACTAAACAATGTAAACACACTGCTCTGGTTAAATCTTTTATGCTGTTTGCAAACTGGACACCTCTAAAGCATTGTCAGATTAGAAAACAGTCGAGGCTTCTTAGGGGAAACTGTGTTTGTAGAGAAGTCATAATGTCAGGTTGAGGCAGATATTTGGAACCTTTACAAGGGGAAAAAAAGTCATTGCACAAAGCATACCCTAGAAGACGTATGTGATATATGGAATGTTTTACTGCATATATTTTATATTTATACACTCAGGAAGTCTTGATCTGTCCTTCCAACAGACACACCCAGAGATCTATTAAAAATGTGATTATTTTATAAGATATTTTTGATGAAGCTAGTTAACAAGACAGATATGCACATGGTGAAACAATTCAAGAGTAGTTGTTATCGTGGTCAGTACTTTCCAGAGAGACATTTTATAAATTCTCAGCATCTGGGATCCAGCATTTAGCCTGAAACAACCATGAATAAGAAATGAAGCTTTCCTACACCTCATGGCCTTTTCAATAATACAGAGATACCAAAATCCTAGTAATAAGTAACTGATCTGTGCCACACACTGGAGAGACCATTAGTTCAACATCAACAGGATCTCACCCACATGTGAATGGAACCTTGGGGCTGATTAGCTCAAGATGGCCTTTTCGTACCAGAACTTGCGTTGCAACCCTGCCTGCTAATGTTCATTGCCCAGGTCTCTCACCGATACATGCTATTTTTCATCACCTCTCTTAACCCTCCCTCTTCCTTTTCCCCAGGCCTTCCCCATTCTTGTCCCATGTTCTTCATTAATCACCAGGTCTTTAAGACTTGCTTCAGGGTACAATTGCAAAATTCTGCTTGCATCCTCCAAGGTAGCCAGACTTGTAGGTGTGAGCCACAGGTACCTAGTTTCCATTTCAATTTCCCAAGCACACCCTATCTGACAGGGCCTGACTCACATTCTTTCTTCCCATCTATTTTATCCCAATCATGGTGCTATCAACTTCAATGTCACCACCTGAATCACAGTCCCTCAGCCAAGACGTATTCTAGCAGCCTTCCCATTACCCCCCACCCATTATCTATGTCTATCTCCATCCTGCAGTGTCGATGAGCTCTATCAGTCACTGCTCCATTGCCAAGGCTTACGGCTGGGACTACAGCCCTCCACCTTATCGACCACCCCTACCTACCCTCCCATTTCTGTTACGCTCCTTCAACCCTCTCTCTTCTGACTATAAACCCTCTTCTGTGCTTACTCTCACATATAAGGAACTCAATTATCCCCCAAATCTCCAATTATCTTGAGCTTCAAATCTCCTGTCATCTTGAGCTGCAAGAGGCTTTGCAAATATTCGTGGCCAATAATGACCTCAAATGAACAAACTCTGTACTTTTAGTTCCAGCCTAGGAAAGAAAACATGTATTTTTAATTGATTCTATTCTGCTCTAAAAGGTAACAGAACTCAAACAACGGCCTCCCAGTTTCTCTACAGTCTTTTTATGTAGCTCGTCTTGGATCATTGGCTTTCATACACGGTTGTTCTGAGTATGTTGGACTGCCCCTCAATCCTTGGTGGGTCTACTCCACGCTTAGCACTAAGCTCACCGCCCAGTGGAAACTCCTTTAGCCATGTGCTTTACACCTCCAAATCTGACTGCAATCTCTTCTCACTATGTCTAGACTCGGTTAGAAAGGAGCTCTACTTGTTGCTGGTGCTTTAACCCAATTTCTTACCATGTAATTTAATCCAATTACTAGCAACTCCAATACTTTGGACAAATGATATCCACAGTTAGATTTCCCAGGGTTGAATTTTCTTAAAGTGACAGCTATGCTGGAGATTCTTTTAGAATTGCGGGGGGGGGGGGAATTTCCCTCACTGCTACGTAGATATTATATCCTATGCAAACAGGTGCTATGCTGGATCACCCTCTCATAGAATATAACTATGGGATACTTGAGCTAATAGAGGTGGCCTACTGTCTACAACAGAAGGCACTAAGGATATTACCACTTTTTATTGTCATGTATATGGATGTGTTTCAGTCTGTCTCAAGCAACTCCAAGAGACGTTCTTTCATCTGGCCACCTACCTCTTTGAGTAGAAGTCTTTTGCACAGTTTCCAGGAGGGTTTTTGCTTTCTACATGTTTGAAGAACCAGAGGGAGAGATGCTCCAGTTGAGTTTGCATAAAGAGATAAAAGTGCTAAAGATTGTCGAGGATAGTTTAGAATCATCTTAAATAAAGAGGTCAAGTCTATTGAAAAGTTTGTGTTTTGGTCTATCCGAGTGTTTCTTTTTCCTTTCTCCTCAGGTGATTAAAGGAAAAAAGTAATTAGTGTTTTCCTTTTA